TTCAATACATTTACACAGGTTATTCTTGGCCGTCCCCCGGTCTTCGTCCAATCTGCTGAGCAAGTGGTAGCTCGGCCTTCGTTTCTAGAAGCATTCGCAACACTTAGTCAAGCCATAGCAGCTGTGACTTATCAATCAAGATAAACAGCGGATGTGCACCAAAACTCTCTCAGGTTTCTGCACTACGGACAACGTTGAGGCACGTAAGGCCAATGAATAGTCTCAGAAAGCCGATTTCAGGCGCTTTTAACCGGGGTCACCGTCTTTCGGTTTTTCAGTCATAGTCCACAATTAGTCACCACAGGTGTGCAGGTGAGTGAAGATTGATTTGAAGGGAAAAACAGATTCAGGTCTGACTTAGTCACACCGGTGCCAAACGGTTCATTGGCAATTCTAAATTCATGCTCGATCTTTGCCTTCCATTTTCCATCACCAGGTACATAACCTTCTCCAACTTTGCTTTCCTGTTATCTGAAGAGTGCAACGTTCAGGTAAATGAGGAAGCACTAGGCTTTTCGTCTTAGAAGCATTTATATGCATGTCAGGCACGCTCCACTCGGTTGTGAACCCTTCCAGAAAGCAGTTTTAGGAGATGCCAACAAAACAAGGTCATCTGCATATAGCAAACGCTTCGTCCCCACATTTCCTACGCTGATGCTGTCGCAGTCCTGACTGTCCATGACCATCCCATTCATACAAGACACAATCAGGGGAGGGACAGAATGCAGCCTTGACTGAGACCAGTGATAACGTTGAAGGATCTCGACTTAGCGTCATTTACTCTGGTGAGGCACCTGCTATCAGGAAATTGTGACTGGAAGGGTCGTAGCAACTAGTCATCAATCACACATGTTTGCAGGAGCGCCATCAGCTTGTTGAGCGGGATCTTGTTCAGAGGCTTTCTCCAGAACAAGGCACATTTATACCGCATGAGCGAACTTCTCTGATTTCTGAACATTATTGCTTGGTGCGAGGACCTGATCAGAGATGCTTCGCATGATCTGAAGTCACGCTGATCTTGGATTAGAATCGGTTTTTCCATGTAACCCATTTTCTAAATCCTTTGCATAGAATTTTGCCAAGATGCTCAGTTCGGTAATTCACTGATAATTCGTGCACTTCGTATGCTCTCCCTTCTTGAACCTCAGTATTTTCACTATATTATCTATATTTTTACCTCAGTTATCCAGTCCACTGATGTCTTTCTCTAGCTGTAGCAGATTGGAAAACACGTATTGGCCAGAACATGTCTTGTTCACCTTTAATACTTGAAGCATTTAAGCGCAGATTGCATTTATGGTCAATCGAATAAATTGACAAATACAATAATTTCTTTGAAAGTGAGTTCGGCAATAGAATTCAACGCCAACATCCAAATACGGCCTTACTTTTCCTCCTAACCGAATATTGTGCGAATTGTTAGTCTGGAGTGGGTCTTAGAACAACGCAATGCTCTGCAGGTGTTCTTCAAAAAAAAAATCAACTGTTTTTCTCAATTCATAATTTAAGACACGGAAAGGATGTACCAGCATAATGTTTAGTCTCAAACGATGAGTCTAGAAGAAAGAACTTAAT